GACCACTGAACGTTACTTAAAAAAAGATACCCGTTACTTATTGAATTCTCTGCAAAGAAAAGGCTTTATGATTTAGCCTATTAAATCAAACCCCAAATACTATGTTAAAAACTATCAAAGAAATTGAATATAAATATATTGCTTACGGAATTTTAGCCAGCCTCGTCGGCCTTTATGCTTTAAATAAATGAAAGGAACGAAAATAATGGCTTTACTAAGAAACAAAAGCCCTAAGCTAACCTTACCCAATGACTGAAAAGTTATTGACCAGCAAACCCAAGCCCTAATTGCTTCCCTTTTAGCGGAAAAACTGCCTTTAACTAACCAAAAGTTAGATTGTCTCCAAGACGAAGATTACCGGAACTTATTAACTAGCTATCAAGAACAATATAGCGAAAATGTTCCGGAAACTAACCAAGTGGCCCACGAAATTACTTATGAGTATTTGCTAGAAGTAGCCAAAAGTTTAGTCGATACTTTAAAAACTTTTACTTGCCACCAAGAAAAATATTTGGAAGGATTAACTGATGCCTAAAATTAAGCGACCTACTAAAAAGCCGGTTAAGCGAACTAAAAAAGCCCCCGTGAAAGTAACTACTAAACCAACCAAAGCCTTAGCCCTCGTTAAAACCAAGCCAACTAAAAAAACTGCCGCCTATTACCAATGTATGTCTAATTGCTGTCAAAATAAAATTAGCCCCAAAAAAATCAGCCAAGTCGCCCACGAATGTAAAACTAACGCCCTGGCTCTTAATAAGCAAATGTCGGCCGCTAAATTACAAGCGGTTAAGCAAATTAAAAAAGGTTACGAGCAATTAGGTAAAGGTTTAAGCGAACTAGTTAAATTGAAATAATGAACAAAGAACCCTTAATCCTCTTATCTTTAATCGGCTTAGTGGGCTATGGAGTTTTTCATGGTCACCGTTTAAATAAAGACTGCTTTTTATGCCCTTATCGAGGCTTAATTTTTATGGGCAGTTCCGTGGTTTTAGGAGGCTTTTTAGCTTATAGTGAATAATGAGCCAAGATTGCACTAAATGATTTTATTTGTGTTTAGCCCTTTGTGCTACTCTTTTAGCGGCCTTAGCTATGTTCTTTAATTATTCGTTAAAGTTAGGTTGAAGGACCGCTAAATTAGAAAAAAAGAATGGCGCCGAACAAAAACAAATTAACGAACTAAAAGCCGAATTAACTAAACTAAAAAATAATGACTAAAACTTGCCTAAATTGCCAACAAACTTACCACTTCCCCAGCCCCTTACCCGGAATTTGCCTAACTTGCTTTGCTAACCAAAAATAATGTCTAAGAAAAAACGCAAATATTGCCCCCATTGCCCAGAAAAGAACCGCTTAATTGCTAAACTAGAACATCAATTGCGCGAATGCCACGCTAAACTAATTTAACCTAATTTATGACCAAAGAAAACCTCAAAAAAGAACTTTTAACTACCGTTACACTGGGAATAAAGCCGAGTGATATTAAAAAACTAAAACGCTCTAAATCGGCTAATGATTTGCCTAACTCTTTACCGGAACAAGAAGCCTTTTTGAAAGAACTTTGGCTTCTATTACATCCGCAAACTAGGAGCTTATCTTTGACCGAACCAGTTAACCAAGAAGCACTAAAAAAGGCCTTGAAAGTCCAATTAGACCAACTAAAAGAACTTGGCAATTGCCCACCGCAAGCCTTATTAACCGACCAGTTAAAAGAAAAGCAAACTGAAATTGAAACTTTACGAGCCCAACTAGCACAAAAAAACACTGAATTAACCCAAGTTAAAAGCGAGTTAGACCAATCTCTCGAAGCTCGCTGTAAAGGTTTAACCACTTTTGGTCATGAGTATGAAAAAAGAAATAAAGCTGAACAGGAGTTAAATGAAACGGTAGAAGAAGCTGCTAGTGAACTAAAACACGGCGATAAGCAAAACTCTTCTTTAAGAACACAGCTTTTTCAAGCTAACCAGCAAATAAGCACCCTCCAACACGAATTAAGTTTAGCCCGAATTAACCGGAACCGAAACTTACCTGATAACCCCCTCGAATACCCTTTTGCCTACTGATCCTATGCCCTATATGCCTGATTAGCCTTATGATTTATGGCTTTGCTTAACCGTCCCCAATGAAAAGAAAACTAATATGACCCTAATCTTAATCCTAATAATTATCGCCCTGGTGGCCTATTACTATTACCGGAAAAACTTACCGGCTATTGACGCTAACTCCAACGATAAATTCGCCCAAATCCAACAAACTAATCGCACCCTCGCTAGTTTCTTAAAAAATGAACTAGGTGGCCAAGATTTAAACGAATTACGCCTT